TGATCCTATCAGCATTGCGGACACTATCAGGGTAATATCAGGGTAATTCAGTAAATACCGACTGAACCAGGATGCCTGTTTGCAAATTATAATTCACTTGCTTTTTGCAAGCAGTAGTTAAAAATCTCTTGGTGGCATGAGGGTTAAACATGTGATAGCTAACCAGCACTTGCTTGTTAGCCACCACATTAGTAAATAAAAAAAGTGGTATGACGGGTATATCTGCTAAATAAAAACCTAGCAGCTGGTTTGCATTGCTACCCAGTCACTAGAAAAGCCCCATCTCATTTGGACAGGGGCCTGTGAAATAAGGAGGGGATCTAGTCCCCCAGAGCTTACATCCATGGGTATCGGATGAGGAACTTAAATTTAAATAATGGGGGTGGGCAGATCAATGTCCAACTCATGTCCTATCCATGGCCAGTGGCTTTGGGCGATTACATTTACAAAAATGGGGGTGGGGGGGCAATATCATTTCTAATTTCTCTCCTGTGGTTTGCACCTAGCATCCCCCTCCCTAGCCTCCATCCATATATTAGAGCCCTGCTGGTGGTGGCTATAAATATAATAAAATGTGGGGCCCTGTGTCCCACCTAGCCCATGCTAGGTGGGATACAATGGATGGTGGTTGAGGGCTCTAAATATAATACAGGGCAGGATGTAGTGTTCCCCTCATGGGCGGTGGGTGCGGGCTACTAAAAAAAAAAACAAGGGTTTTGAACATACCATTGTCCACTCTCCCCCAAATGTGTACCATTGTTACCCTAGGGCAGTTATGGCGAACCTTTTTGAGCCCGAGTGCCCAAACCGCAATACATGCCAACTTTTTTTCCCCTCAAAGTGCCAACATGATACCTGATTAGTGAAGTTTAAGTTTAGAAAAAAACTACTTGTAGAGTTGTCCGAACTAATTAACAACTTTTGTTTTAAAAGAAGAACACAACAGAGAGTTCCATGATACAAATTTTTAATTATGATATAAATAGATACAATTAAGCTTATATTTATTAGTATCTCCAACAAATGCAATACACACACACCGTCCGCTAAATACACACACACCGTCCGCTAAATACACATACAGACAGACTGCTGAATACACACAGACTGCTAAATACACACACTCACAGACTGCTGAATACACACACTCATAGACTGCTGAGTACATACACACACACAGACTGCTGAATACACACACACTAATGAGTACACAGAGACTGCTGAATACATATACACACACACACACACACACAGACTGGTGAGTACACACACACAGACTGCTGAATACATACACTGCTGAATACACACACACACACAGACTGCTGAATCCATACATACACACTGCTGAGTACTCACAGACTGCTGAATACATACACACACAGACTGCTGAATACATCAGCAAGGGGCATCAGGTTTTTGAATGTGTTAAATGACACCTTTATGTCACAACTGGTACAAGCACCAACTAGAAAGGATGCTTGTCTGGATCTTGTCATAACAAACAATGTTGATCTTTTAACCAACATTCAAGTAAGGGAGCATTTGGGAAATAGTGATCACAATATGGTAAATTTTGAAATAAACTCAAAAAAGCAAAAGCAAGTGGGGTATACTAAAACATATAATTTTTAAAAAGCCAATTTCAATAAGGCTAGGGCAGCTCTACAACATATCGACTGGCATAAACTCCTTAGTAATAAAAACACTGAGAATAAATGGAAACTATTCAAACAAATATTAGAAAGGTACATTTCTCAGTGTAGCATTAGGTAATAAATATAAAAGAAACAAATTAAAACCAATGTGGCTTAGTAGAGAAGTAAAACGAGATTAAAAGTAAGAAAATGGCATTTAAAGCATTTAAATCAGACAAATCAAAGGCATCCTATTTAAGATATAAGGAAGCCAATAACACTTGCAAAAAGGCAATTAAAGTGGCTAAACTAGAAAATGAGAAATTGAAAGCTAAAGAATGCAAAACCAACCCCAAATTCTTTTTCAAGTACATCAATTCTAAAAAAACAAAAAATGAAAGTGTAGGTACACTTGAAACAGAGTTGGGTTTATTAGCTAATGAAGACCAGGAAAAAGCAGAAATTTTAAATAACTATTTTTCTTCAATATATATTAATGAGGATCCTATGGCAAGAGATATGCAAATGATTGCTGCAAAAAACTTGCAAATAACTTGTGATTGGATAACTCGAGATAAGGTGCTACAGCTATTAAAGAAAATTAATGTAAATAAAGCTCCGGGGCCTGACAGTATTCACCCACAAGTACTTAAGGAGCTAAGTGGGGAAATAAGTGAACCTCTGTATTTAATTTTTCAAGATTCTTTTGTTTCAGGTGTTGTACCGGAGGATTGGAGGAAGGCAGATGTTGTTCCTATATTTAAAAAGGGTTCAAAATCCTTGCCTGGAAATTATAGACCTGTGAGCTTAACTTCTATAACTGGGAAAATATTTGAAGGGCTATTAAGGGATAATATTCAGGAATTCATTGGGAAGAACTTTGTTATTAGCAATAATCAGCATGGTTTTATGAAACATCGGTCATCTCAAACTAACTTAATTGCATTCTACTAAGAAGTAAGTAAAAGTATAGATCAGGGTGTTGTAGTGGATGTGATCTACTTGGATTTTGCCAAGGCATTTGATATAGTTCCTCACAATAGGCTAGTCTTCAAACTAAAAGAAATTGGTCTAGATGAATATTCTTGTTCTTGGGTAGAACATTGGCTTAAGGATAGAGTACAATGAGTTGTAATTAATGGTAAATTTTCAGGCTGGACAAAAGTGGTAAGTGGTGTCCCTCAGGGTTCTGTTTTGGGACTGCTTCTATTTAACATATTTATAAATGATCATGAAATAGGCATTGAAAGCCATGTATCAGTGTTTGCAGATGACCACACACAGACTGCTGAATACACCCACACACAGATGAAAATATAATTCTGCCTCTTTATAAATCGCTGGTAAGACCACACCTTGAATATGCTGTGCAATTTTGGGCGCCTGTTCTAAAGAAGGATATCATGGCATTGGAGAGGGTCCAGAGATGAGCTACAAAATTGATAAAAGGAATGGAGCATTTTAGTTATGAAGAAAGGTTAAAAAAATTAAATCTGTTTAGTTTGGAAAAACGGCGCCTGAGAGGGGATATGATAACTTTATACAAATATATTCAGGGCCAGTACAAACCTTAATCTGGAAATCTATTCATAAACAGGGCTATACATAGGACACAAGGTCACACATTTAGCCTGGAAGAAAGGAGATTTCATCTAAGGCAAAGAAAAGGTTTTTTTACAGTAAGAACAATAAGGATATGGAATTCTCTGCCTGAAGAGGTGGTTTTGTCAGAGTCCATACAGATGTTTAAACTGAAATTGGATAAATACTTACAAAATCATAACATACAGGGATATAATTTCTAATTAGTGGGTAATAGCTGCTTGATCCAAGGAGACATCTGACTGCTATTTTGGGGTCAAGAAGGAATTTTTTCCTAGTTTGTGGCAAAATTGGAAGTGCTTCAGACCAGGTTTTTTGCCTTCTTTTGGATCAACAGCAACAACATTTGTGAGGAAGGCTGAACTTGATGGACGCAAGTCTCTTTTCAACTATGTAACTATGTAACATACACACACAGACTGCTGAATACATACACTGCTGAATACACACACACAGTCTGCTGAATACATACACTGCTGAGTACACACACACACAGACTGCTGAGTACACACAGACTGCTGAATGCATACACACACACACAGACTGCTGAATACACCCACACACAGACTGCTGAATACACACACACACACACAGACTGCTGAATACACAGCCACACAGACTGCTGAATACACCCACGCAGGCTGCTGAGTACACACACACTGCTGAGTACACACAGTCTGCTGAATACATACACACACACACACAGACTGCTGAATACATACACACAGACAAACTGCTGAATAACACACACAGTCTGCTGAACACATACACTGCTTAGTACACACACACAGACTGCTGAGTACACACACTCACAGACCGCTGAGTACATACACACAATCTTCTGAATACATACACACGTACACACACAGACTGCTGAATACACACACACTGCTGAGTACATACACTCACAGACTGCTGAGTACACACACACAGAGACTGCTGAATATACACACACACAGACTGCTGAATATACACACACACACACAGACTGCTGAATACACACATACATACTGCATTGAGGGGTGTGGAGTAAGGGTGTGGAGTGCTGTGTGTGTGTCTGAGGGGTGCAATGTGTGTGTGTGGGGTTAGGGGTGCTGTAGGTGGAGGGGTGCTGTGGGGGTAGGGGTGCTGTGTAGGGGGGGTAGGGATGCTGTGCTGTGTGGGGTAGGGGTAAAGATACATTTAAAAAGTTGTATTAATTCAGTATCCCCCCTCCCTTCCTCTTACCTTTGGTGAAGGGACACAGCCATCCCTTGTGGTCCAGTGGTGGTAAGTATTGTAGGAAGCAGCTCGCCTATCCTCCCGCGCGATGTTGTGTGGAGCGTTGCCATGGTAACATGCGGCAACACTCCACAGCTTGCTCGCAGCAATTTAAAAAAAGCTGATTAATTGCAATTTTGGCTATTAATATGTGATTTGTGTTTTTATGCACTGGATAATAACAATGGAGATCCTACATACCTAGCAAAAAAACATCACCCTAGTGAACCCAAAATAAAATAATGTGCAACATAATCACTCCCAACATGCTTTTCCACTCCAGAAAGGCGCCTTTATCTGGGGATAAAGAAGATTATTATGCATTGTACATTTTATGGAACGTCCAACAGTTCAAAGTCCTTTATATAATAGAAAAAATAAACACAAAAAAGGCAAATATTTAAAAACATAATGTCAAGCAGTCTTTCACATTGGACAACTTGTGGGTGAAGAATAGGACGTTATAGAGGACTGGGTGAAAGTGTTCAACAGCAGTCTAGGACAGTGGTCCCCAACCCAGTCCTCATGGACCACCAACATTCCAGGACTTATGCATTTCCCTGTTTTATTCCAATAGTGAGACTGAGAAAACCTGGACTGTTGGTGGTCCGTGAGGACTGGGTTGGAGAACACTGGTCTAGGAGACAATGAGAACTTGAGAAGCGGATTCTGAGATATTACTCATACTAGTATTCAAGCACAATAACTGCCCTTGATAATGCATTAAGTTTTTAGGTGGGTAAAGATTGTCATTTTGTTGTGAAATGTAATACCTGATTTTCCTCAAATGATGCAGCTTAGTGTTGGCAAGTATGTACTACTTTAATTAAACTGTATTAAACAATAATTTTGATCTTGTATAATACGTTTTAAGAACATTTTGTATACAATACAAAATAAATTATTGAATGCTTGATTTGAGGTTATTGCTGTTGTTGGCTAACATACTTCTTAGAGTCACGTAATAACCACCTGTAGGTATGTGTTATAAAACAAGTTAAATTATGTTAAGGAAATTAAGCTGGCTTTATGAGTTTGGATTGAGCTCATCCTGCTGACCAAGCAATGGGATCGGACGATGCCTTTCCATTGCTTGTTAGTGTTTTGTTTTGGTTTTTTTTTTGCTAAATCTCTTAGGATCTATCACCTTTTCCAGTCCTGCTTCAGTGCACTATCCAAAGGCAAGATTCCAGCTTTTTACTGATCTGAGTATTTGTAATAGAGAGGCACATTTCAGAAATAAACATTGGAGCTCTAGACCACTCCAATGAATAAAAAGAATAACAAACAGAACAAATATAGCATCATGCATGCATCAAACACATTCTACAGATGTATATATGTATACATCAGCCTACTAGTCTAAACCCTAATATACATATTCATTCATCAAGACAGTAGGTGTTTCTGGGGTGGGGTGGAGATTGGGGACCTAAGCCCAGAGTGTGCAGCTCTTAGGTTTCAGATCTCTATAGTTGTAGGAGGGAAATAGTAGATATTAGAGTGTTTTTATTTTTTAATTTTTACATTGGGCAGCTGCTTCTTCATTATAAAAAAGAAACAAAAGTAGTATAGTGATCCACCAGGCTTCTTAGTAGAAGAGTTTGGTGCACCCCAGGTAGTTTCATGAAGGGGTGATGGATTAAAGAACTTTGCTGTGCCATGATGTGATGTGATATGTCATGACATATCCCCACCTCTATGTTATTAGAGGAATCACTGGGTTTTCTTTTGGGCTCAAGCCCCAGGATTTCCTGAAACAAAGAAACAGCCCTTAAACAGATCATCTGTGGCTTGTTTTACAAACTCAATAAGAGTGAAATGGAGTGTTGTGCATTATATTTGTCAAACATTGCAAGGCAAAAAAAGGTTATATAGAGAAGCACACATTCTGAAAAAGTGATAGTAGGCTGATTAAATATAATTTTTTATTATTTTAATGAATTTTATTTTTTTACTTTTTTAATGTTATGCAGTGTAATTATTTTGTTCATTGTCATATTAGGAAGCAGTGCTCCTCTCTTCTTAAAAGTATTAAAAATCTGACGTATTTTTTATCTAACAACTTTTTATATATATCCGAATTTCACAAGTGGAAGAAGGTTAAAATCACTAGGTCCTTCAAAAAAATTAAATCTTGAATCCTTTCTAAATGACATCAAGAACCTCCCATGGCACAGATTAAACATTATCCCAGATCTAGGCTATCCAGTTGAATTCTTTCAGTCTGAACTCCTAGAAGTTTGGAAGGTGAGAGTAAAAGGAGCACATATGAACTGGATCAAAGCTGACCTCATTCAAATGTACCAGTTTCGGGATTCATTGTGGTCAAAGTTCAAGCGTACTTGCTCTATGAACGATCACTGTGCATATAGACAATGGCAAAATATAAGCACAAAATAAACAAAATTGGCCAAGGCCCAATATTTCTGTCAAGATCTGAACAATAATCTATCAAACCCTAGAAACTTTTGGAAAGTCATAAATAAATTACAAACCCCCCCCAATCCACTCCCAACCCTCCACTGTCAAAGTGGATAACCAAACCCTGCAACTTCCCTTAGATGTAGCAAATGCCTTTAACAATTATTTTGTCGGAATGCTCCACTACCCTAATTGCCAAGCTAATAAATGACACACAACTTGAAACTACAAATGCGTATCAGGACCCACTACATTTGCAAAGACCCAATATAAGCAAGTTCATTTTTAGACCTGTACCAATTAGTGTCATTAAAAAGCACCTTAGTAATCTAAAAATGAAAAACCAGTCTGGACCTGATCAAATCCCTGCAATGCTGTTGAAGCTCAGTGTGCCGGCAATTGTCAACTGTCGCAACCCTAATTAACGAATGCTTGATGTCTAGATACATACCCAAACTTTGGAAGACAGTGAGAGTAATGCCTATCCATAAAAGTGGTGACACTACTTTGGTTTCTAACTATCACCCAATATCATTGCTCCCAGTATTGTCAAAAATCTTAGAAAAATGTGTCCATACGCAACTATGTGACTATTACCAACAATCAAACTATCTGACCCCTGATCAATCGGGTTTTCGCCCAAATCACTCCACTACAACTGCCCTCTTAAAAGTTTGCAATGACATCCAAACTGGCAGGGAACAATGAGACCTAACTGGAGCTATTTTCCTTGATTTTGCAAAGGCCTTTGACACAGTAGACCACGACATTCTACTGCACAAACTAAAAAACTCAGGTATTGGTGATTGTCCGCTAACCTGGTTTCGATCGTATGTATCGGATTGCTCGCAATATATTTCCATTTCTGACAGCGACTCCCTGCCTCTACCAGTCACGTGTGGTATTCCCCAAGGTTCCATTATCAGCCCCCTAGTATTTACATTATTTATAACTGATCTGCAAATCCTCAAATGTACACATGTACGCAGACGACACTGTAATCCATGCAAGCATATCCGATCTACCGCAGCTTGCTCAAAGACCAGTTTACAGAGGTAGAAAAGTGGATTGCAAAAAACAAACTCTTACTAAACACTGACAAAACTGTCACAATGATCTTTGGAACAGTACCTAAATTACACAAATTACACAATTCCTACCTATCCATCAAAACAAATTCAAATAGCACACTGAACGTAGTCCACTCTTTCAAATACTTGGGTATGTTGTTAGACCCCGATTTATCTTTTGGCCTCCACATAGAAAAACTTGCATCTAAACTTTATATAAAACAAGGTTCTCTGTACAGAAACAAATCCTGTCTAAGCCCTACAGTAAAGGAAAAAAAGATTGTACAGCAAATACTGATGCCAATCATTGATTATGGGGATGTAGTATATGCACCAGCACTGCAATCCTACATTAATAAACTCAATCTATTGTATAACTCGTTCTGCCGATTTGTGCTACAATGTAATTACAAGACCCACCATTGTGATATGCTAAAAGAACTAAACTAGCTGTCGCTGGAATCCAGATGCACCCTTCATCTTTCCAGCCTTGTGTCTAAGAGCTTTTCTGGTAAGCTCCTACCCTACCTGAGCAGAATGCTCTCCTCGGCTGTCCCTACCTCCTATAACCTCTGATGCAGTACCAGCACTTTTAGTCTACCTCAATACAAAAAGAAAGTGGCCCGATCCTCCTTTTCATACAGAGCACCGCTATTATGGAACGACCTCCCGCACACTTTAAAATCTTCCCCAAGTCCTTTAAGAGATCCCTCTCTACATACCTCAAAACAGAATGCACCTGTCATGGTTGATTAAATATTTACTACCTGTTCTATGTTAGGTTTTGTATATATTGTGTATTAATATTGATTTTGTATTTTTTTGTACCCTATTGTATCAATGCAATGTTTTGTGGACCCGGGACATACTTGAAAACAAGAGAAATCTCAATGTATCTTTCCTGGTAAAATATATAATCTTCAGATTGTATTGGCAAATAATGTAAAACAAAATCTTGATCCAATTGAAAATACTAACTTTTTTATTATTTTAACATATGTCCCAACCAACTCCCCTAATTCTTAATATGGAGTAATAAAATAAAATACCTGTAAAAGAAAATAACTTAGTTTTTGCATTAACCACTGCTGTCAGGTGATGCTATGGATTTCTTTGCCCCCATGGGAATGGACTCCCAGAGTTAAAATAAAGGTACCAATGTAACAGCCAAAGAACATACAACCAAACAATAGTATACAAATTCCTTCTGGTCTAGTGATTAGAGAGGTAATGCGGCTTTGCCGGAAATGCATGGATATTTACACATCACCTAACAGATGCCCTCCTCCACAGTGGTCAGCCTCCTTGAATAGGGTAGATATTACAAGCAATCTCGGGTAATTTCAGATCATTAAATTTTTATCTCTTTCATATATAAAGATCTTATATTTCAAGTTTCACTAGATATATGTGCCACACCAATGTCTAAAACACTAAAAGGGTTACTATAAGAAGGGTTGAACAAGTTGTACATGTACAAATTGGGTTGTATTGTTATTTTTCTTCAGAAAATTTTAAATAAAAAAAGTGTATAAAAAAACAACAAGGTGTACATGCATAGTGAAGGTGTTAGGAATGTAGAGTAATGATAAGGAAATCTTACAGACACGGTGGAACTTTTCCATACTGTATTTATATTAAGAACAAAAAATAGCTCTCTCTGAATTATATATAGGCAACTTTTTATGTATATTTTTTGTGTACAGAGAATGTATGGTTCATGCTCTTTGAATTAAATTGAATTGCATTGCAAAACTGGAAAATGACAAAGACCTAACTGATGTGCTAAACTTTATTACTGTACCATAACATGACATTTACATTTACACCATTAACCTTTGGTTTCTTTATTTGGATTTAAATTAGATTTCTGGCAGTTTGATTTAGAACTCTGTATATTTTATCAAGGCAAAAACAGGTGCTAAACAAGAAGCAATCGCAAATAACAGCCAATAAAACACCTCTCGGCATGTAGTACTTTGCACAGAGAGTAGCTCCTGATTTGCCATGATAAATTAAAATGTCTAGCTTTTTCTAGCATTTCCAAAGTCTGATCATGATTGCATGTTTCTCTCCCAATTTCTGTTTTGATACTATGTATAAATGAAATCAATTATAAAGTTTGATCCATTCTTAGC